TCAAGGCCCACATCAAGCACTGCCTCTTGCAGAGAGTGTCCCTGCAGCTGCCCGGTCAGATCCCATCTCCTTTTTCCTGGCTCATTCGTGGTGAACTAGACACCCGATCAAAAGGGAAGAATCAAGCCAAATGGAATTGTGTGAAGCTGACTAGAGCCAGGACCTACAATCGCACCGACTCCTATAGCAAACGCTGGTGCAGGCCCAGCTCGCTCGAGCTGTGTCTCAGTCTCTGGCTTTGTGCCATTCCCCCTCTCACTGCCCGTCTCTCTGTCCTCACATCTGCCTTCTCTTCCTGCCCTGTCTCTCGCCGTGTCCCTGTCCATTCTGTCCGCTCTGTAACTCCTGCCCCTTGCCCAGCAGAGGCGCCACACGGCCCCCACTTCCCCTGTCTTGCCGCTGCGTCCTTTGTCTTCATGGCCATTCCGGGTCGCTCTCCCTCTCTCCCTCCATTTATGAGCCTGTGTGTTAGTGGACAGGGCAGTGGGCTGGAGGCCACTCACTAGTGACCCGTCTCCGCGATCACCTCATTATTTATCACCAGGGACGCCAGTGCTTCCATAAATTACCCCAACCCGGAGCCGCCTGCGCCGGAATCAATAGTCGCCTCTCGACTAATATCCAATTATTAATAACCACGGGGAAGGGTGGCCAGCCATGGCGCTCTGGGTCCTGGCCTGGTGGGGAGAGGAGGGGAGGGCTGGGTGGGAGCTGGCACCCCTGTTGTGAAATACCTGTGCAGGGCACGAGGTGGCGACCGAGGTGCCCGCATTCTCTCCAGGGCTGGGCGATAGAAGCACAGACATGGTTTCACCCTGAGGTCAGAGGGCGGGAGGCAGAGCCCCATCTTCAAGCGCCTCCAGTCTGAGGGCGGAGACACGTCGTGCCCTGAAGTCTGCTTGTTCAGGACCTACCCGGGGCCCGAGAAGAGGTGCAGCCTCCCAGGGAGGGGAGCTGTGGCAGGACCTCACTCTGCAGGCACACCGGAGGCTGCTAGAGGCAGGGTGCTGGGGAGGGGGTGGGTTCCATCAGGATAATGGGGTTAGCGGGGGACTTGAGCCCTGCAGGTACATCTGGATAAATACCTGATCCCTAGGGGAGGGGCATCAGAGAGAAAGCTGTCAGGGCAGGGAAGGGACAGGGGTGCCCCGACCAGTGGAACCAGGGGCCGAGAGGTTGGAATCAAAGCAGCTGTCTATGCAGGTGATGGGAGGGAGGGGGGCGGGGTAGAGGCCAGTGGAGGGGAGACTGGGTCTCAGAGGTCCCTAACCTTGAGATATCCAGCACCCAGACACACACCCCTCAACTACTGGCTCTCTCCTAACTGCACCCAGAGGCCCAGTGGGAAACACATGCTTAGATCAACACAGTCACAAAGCAAAGGCAGAGACACTAAAAAACAGAAATGCAAAGAGGCAGAAAAAGATCACACAAAGTCAGATACATGCCCTGCTAGGCATAAAGACACACACACACACACACACACAATCAGAGACTCACAGATGCATGGATAAACAGGGACACACAAACACACCCAAACACAGAAATGCTAATACACCCTGGTACTTATCCATGGAGGCATTTCCTCCCACACACACATGCCCACACATGTGGACACAAGTGCACGCTCGCAGCCCATCCCGCACACCCCCGCTTTGTGCACACAGTGGGCACATGCAGCAGCGAAGGCCTCTGAGGGCATCTTGCAGGAGCCAGGATGAGGCTGCTGCTCCTCCGGAGCCCAGTTGGTGCCAACACTGCCACCGTGTGGCTGCAGGGGCACAAAAAAAAAGAAATGAAATTTCAGTGAGCACTCTCATACATTCCTGCTGGTTTTACAAAATGGTACAATTTCTATTGAAGGAAATTTCACATTATCTGTTAAAATTAAAAATGCAATCACCCTCTAAGATAGCAGTGCCTCTTATGGGAGTTTATAAATGTGCACATGTCCAAAGTTACCTGTGGTCAAGGTTATTCATGTAGCATTGTTTACAATAAAAAGTGTGTGTGGGGGGGAGGGAGTGGGGAGGGCGGAGGACGAGAAAAGAAAAACAAGTGTCAATCCAAAGGGAAGCTAGTTGACAGAATACTATGCAGTGATATTGAAATTTTATAGTTTTCTTTTTAGTGATATAAGAGTTGGCAGGATACTTTATTATACAAAAAAGAGCAAGATTTGCCCTGACCAGTGTGGCTCAGTTGGTTGGGCGTGATCCCATGCACTGAAAGATTGCTGCTTTGATTCCCAGTCAGGGCACATGCCCTGGTTTTGGCCTCGATCCCCGGTGTGCGGGCGGGTGCAAGAGGTAGCCAACTGATGTTTTGCTGTCACACTGATGTTTTTCTCTCTCCCTTTCCCTTTCTGAAAAAAAAAAATCCACTTTTTAAAAAGAGCAAGGTGCAAAGCAATAGAGCACTTTCTATAAGAAAGGGGGAGGGTAAAGCTTCCTTGTGAGGAGAACCAAGATGGCAGCGTAGGTAAATGCCATACTCACCGCCTCACAACCACATCAAAATTACAACTAAGATACAGAACAACCATCATTCAAACCTGTCTGAAGTCTGGCTGAATGGAATTCCTACAACTAGAAAAGGAAAGAAGAAAGTATATCAAGACTGGTGGGAGGGGTAGAGGCACAGAAAGGGCTGGTCCAACACCCACGTGTAGTGTATTTTTAATCAGAAGGGAAAACTCCACTGCTGAGGCCTCCCATGAGAAGTAAATGGTTCCAGCCCTATACAAGACCCCCAGCCCAGGGTTCCAGAGCTGGGAAGAGAAGTCCCGGTAACTTCAGGTTGTAAAAACCAGCTGGGCTTCACAGAGGCTGCTGGAGACCCAGGCAGTCCCTCTTAAAGGGCTGGCACATACACTTACTTGGACTTGATCCCTCTGGGCTCCAATGCTGGGACCACAGCTCAGGTGAGATTTAGGGACATATGAGAAGGAACTGGATTATCTGATATTGGAGAAATGTTGGGGTCGTGCCCCAGCAGGTCCAGGGGTTCCCAAAGGTGTGGACGGAGTCGGCAAAGAAGAAAGGACACGGAGGCAGTGTTCAGATCATCATCATAGCCAGGTTTCATAGCCAGGTTCTCCAGCCAGGTTCTGTGTTTATTGTCTTGTTACATCTGTATTTATACCAGTTGATTTTAATCCTATCAATTCTATTCCAAAGGTTAGGGCGTTTCTTATCTCCATTCCAACGTTACTCTATTGTTCTATTAAGCTACAAGGAGATTATCCTAAGTAAAGATTATGTAGCTTAAGC